CAACAACTCGGAGTACTGGCGCTTCCTCTTCCCCGGCTTCATTGTTGGTAGCGGCGGCATGGCCCTCGCCTTCACTGCCACCACGGTCGGCGTCATGACGAGCACGCCCGCCGAGATGGCCGGCGTCGCCGGCGCCGTCCTTCAGGTCGCGTTCCAGATTGGCTCGACCGTCGGCCTCTCCGTCCAGGCGGGCCTGCTCACGGTCGGCTCGTGGCCCGGCAATGTCAAGGCCTCGCTCTACTTCCAGATGGGCTGGTGTGCGCTCTGGCTCGTCGGCTTCCTCGCCCTTTACCGCCCGAGCAAGAATGTCACCAATGACGAGGAGACCGTCATCGTCGCCCACTAGATCACACCACCGCATAGCCCAATCTTACACCAAACGAACATTTTTAATACCAGCAGCATCGATCACCACATCCCTGCATCCATCAGTATAGCATTAGCAATCCATTCTTCCCCTGTTTCATAGTCAACCCAAAGCCTCACGTATCGTACAAATGCATTCATCTTACAAAGTCAAAACTCTCCTTGTGGCCGAGTCCGCTGATCTTAGAACTGCTCGTTCGCTGCCCACTCGGCCACGTCGAAGCCATCCTCCGCGCCACCATCGTCGACGTCCATGCCCAGCGCGAAAGCGCCTCCGAGCCGTCCGACAGGTGCCGAGGCCGCCTTGCTGAGTCCCCTGTTGGCCGGAATCGGCCCTCCGCGAGCAGGCAGGCCCTTCGTGAGTCTGCTCGGCAGGGGTGGCGGGCCCATAGAGCCGGGAGTGAATAACTCGGGGTGGGTGAGGTTGGCACTGTTGAAGACAGGCGGGAAGTCGTTTGAGACGTTCGGGAGGTTGACCGGGGGAAGAGGCTCGGCGGCCGCAGGAGGCGAGTCAGTGTCCGTCGCCTCGCCCTCATCCTCCGTCTCGACAAAGGTGGTGCGCTTCGTGCCGCGCGCAAGGGAGAGCTCATCGACACCACCGTCGGCGCCGAACTGGAGACGCGCCTGCCGCGTCCGCGGAGAGAGGGAAAGGGCGTTCACGTCATCGGAAGGCTGGACCGAAGGGGAGAGAGAGCCGAACGGCTGCAGCTCACGCTCACGCAGGCGCTCCTTGCTGATGAGGTCGTGGGCGCGAGCAAGGGTGTTACGCGACGAGTGGAAGAGGCCGCTGTTATCGAAGCCGAGGGTCGGCATAGACTGCGTCGGAACGAGCGGACGACCCATGGAGACGACTGCGGTTAGCTCTGCGCAAGAAAGAGAAGCACCTGCTTCACCGGCCGGAAGGCTGGTCGGTACAGCTGCGGCGAGAGAAGCCAAGGGTACACTCACGTTGACGGTTCCTTCGTCCAACATTCTGCAGAGCGGCCTGAGTCTCGGGGTCGATACCATGCAAGCGTCCGTACTTCTCCGCAGTAGTCTCCTCAGTCGGGCTCGCGACGTTGGTGCGCTTGGCGTCCGGGGAAGCCATGGTGCTGGATTGTGTTCGAGGTTCTCGCTCCTGCTGTCGAGTTTCGGTCGTCTCGCTACCCTAACGAGCTGCGTGTCGGTCTTAACGCAGCGCTTCTAGCGTTGTCGTTGCTTAAAGGCTTGATGGACAAAGAAAATCAAGACAAGGTAGCGCGCCTGATAACGCGGGCTGCGGCTGTGGGCTGGGACGCGTCGCGGAGGCAAAGTCGCGTGGGGACTGAATGTCGGTGGCGACAGAGGGGCTGTAAGTGACGGGTGTATGCGAGGCGGCTGACTACGACGACGGCGGCGGCAGGGGGTTGTTCCTTAGCTTGTGCGCAGAGCCAGGACGCACACCCAAGCCCTCGATCATGTCACCTCTGCATTCTCGATCACTGCCGACCTCCCGTCGCACCCCCCGTCCGCAAACGTTCACGAACGTGAGCTGGACACAACGACTACAGTCACTCGACCGCCAGCCCCCCTCGCCTCCTCCACCTCGACCTCCACCGATTCACCGCCCATACGTCCCCTTGTTCCCAGGTCCGACCCCCCGCCCCACACCGCCTCTAGCTTAGAGCCTCAGACGCCTGTCTGACTAGACTGATAGACCTCCTTTCCTTCCTTCCTCCCTTCTCTTCTCATCACACTCCACAGCATCAGCAATGCAGCAGCCGACCCCCAAGACGGCAGCCACGAACAGCTCTCCGCCAGCGCTGACGCATTCCGGCTCCCCGACACCCGGCATCACCGTTCCCGCGACTCCGGCCGAGGGCGAGATTTGCACCCCCCTGCATGCGCTGTATGCCTTTGACGTGCTCGCCGCCAAGCTCGAGGGCCGGAAGCACGTCCCGGCTCCCTTCTCGAACGCAGCGGACAAGTAGTGAGTCACCCGTTCACCGTTCCGGCTCCCACTCCAGAAGTCACTGGGTCACGTCACGAGTGCTTGGTAATAGCATGTCATGTGCTTGGCGATCGGGGAACGAGGAATGCACCGTGTGTCTCCGGTCGTCTGACGTCGCCGAGCGCCACCGCATCACACAGCTACGGGTACTGGGACAGTGCAGAGAGCTGACAAGCAGTGCGCTGTTCGTGACGTGGTCCACGCTCCGCTCGGGTGGCAAGAAGAGTCTGCGCGGGTGTATCGGCAACTTCACGCCACAGGCGCTCGACACGGGCCTGGCCGACTATGCGCTTGTGTCAGCGCTCGAAGACAGCCGTTTCGCGCCTATACGCCAGTCCGAGCTGTCCTCCTTGCAGTGCTCCGTCTCGCTGCTCACGCCCTTCACGGCCGTCGACGACATCCTCGCCTGGACGCCGGGCACGCACGGGATCCACATCTCGTTCCGGCATCCAAAGACCGGCCGCAAGCTCTCTGCAACCTACCTCCCCGACGTCGTGACGGAGCAAGGATGGACGAAAGAGGAGGCGATCGAGAGCCTGATCCACAAGGCGGGATACAGCGGCAGCGTGTCTCCGGGCGACGAGGTCTGGAACTCGATCCAGATGAAAGTGTATGAGTCGTGCAAGGCGCACGCAGACTACAAGGACTACCAGGCGTGGCTCCACGACGGAGCCGTCCCCGATAAGACTGCGGTGGCGGAGAAGAAGCCCGCATCCCCCTCCGCTTGGAAGTAGGTATAACGCCCTTCTCTTGCGCATTGCTTGCGCTGATGCAAAGCGTCCTCGCGCGCCTCGTTGGATCATCATCATAGGATCATAGGAATCAATAAGTCATTTTTTTAGAATTAAGTCATAGTAAGCAGACAAGCACCAAGCTGGGAAAGATGTATCGTTGTGGACTAGCATCGTACAATACAGGAACAACAGGGGAACTAGTGGTGCATGAGAAGTAACTTTTGCGGTGTGTGTGTTGATACAGTTTTATGGTCGTTTCCAATACTCGACAGACCAGTCGGCCTCCTACTCGTCATCAGAATGCGACGCCTCGCGACGCTTGACCTTCCTCGGCGAGCGCGAGCGGCACGGCGACTCGCTGCGCCTCCTGCTCGGGGTGCGGGACACGGAGCGCCCGCGTTCAGGCTCGGGTGTGCGGGAAGCGTAGGCCTCGCGGCGCTCGGTGCGGCGCGGAGGCGTGAAGCTGTCGTCCCTGTCCTCCCTGCGGCGGCGGGGCGGGGAGCGGGAGCGGGAGCGGCTGTCGTCACGGCGGCGGCGGGGCGGGCTGTCCGAGTCGTCGCGGCGGCGCGGGGGCGTGGACGCATCCCTC